TTAACAGATGAATTGGTGCTTTAGTGTGTCTGTGAATATTTGGCAAGCAGTGTAGGAGTCTACAATTACTAAACATCAAAGCCTGGGGAGATTTCCAGATGGCATTCTCATTTACGTGGTGTATGGTATACTGTATAGAGGTCTGCTCGATCAGACAGATGGGGGAAAACATAAGTAAAAAGGCCTGGTGGACTCTGAGTAAAGATGGCTAAGTGCCACTGTTACTTGAGCGAGGAGTGTGTGTTAGTACTTCTGACCACAAGCTGTATTCTCAGAATACCATACTTTGGCTGGTAGTTTTGCAGGCACTCACAGTGTCTAACATTTAGTGCTTCACTGTTTCTCGTTGCCATTTGTATTTATTTGAAGGATTTTTTTTTTGCCTTATATTTTCTCCTTTCCTTTCCTTTTCTTCCCTCCTTCCTCCCTCCCTCCTTTCTTCTTTACAGTCTTTCTTTTTGTAGTTTGAAAAAAGTTCAAATTTCTGTTCTGTTTCAAACACACACACACACACACAAATATGTGCAACTGAAAAATCTGTTGAATTATTTCTTCCATCTTATAGATGATTCTTGCACAAATGTCCTTTTTTGGTTGCTTTAAGTTTAAAAGTAATTTTACCATAATAATCAGTTTTCTGAACAGCATTTTATACTTTTCAGCAATGTGTTTCTAAAATTCAATATGTAAAATGTCCTGTTTTACAACTCTGAGATTCCATCTTACACCTGTAAGAATGGCCAAGATCAAAAACACTGATGACAACTTCTGCTGGAGAGGCTGTTGGGAAAAGGGAACACTCCTGCATTGCTGGTGGGAATGCAAGTTGGTACACCCCCTTTGGATATCAGTATGATGTTTCTCAGAAAATTTAAAATAACCTTTCTCAAGACCCAGCAATACCACTTTTTGGTATATATCCAAAGGATGCTCAATCGTACCACAAGGACATGTGCTCAACTATGTTCATAGCAGCATTGTTTGTCATAGTCAGAACCTAGAAATAACCTAAATGCCCCTTGACCAGAGAATGCATAAGGAAAATGCGTTAAATTTACACAGTGGAGTACTACACAACAGAAAAAATAAAGACATCTTGAAATTTGCAGGCAAATGGCTGGAGCTAGAAAACATATTGAGTGAAGGTAACCCAGACCCAGAAAGACAAATATCATATGTATTCACTCATAAGTGTTTTTTAAACATAAAACAAAGAAAACCAGCCTACAGATCACAATCCCAGAGAACCTAGACCACAATTGAGGACCCTAAGAGAGACATACATAGATCTAATCTACATGGGAAGTAAAAAAAGAAAGATCTCCTGAGCAAATTGGGAGCATGGGGACCAAGAGAGAGCATTGAAGGGGATGGGAGAGACTGGGAGGAGAGCAGAGAAAATGTCCTGTTTTGTGTATGCAATAAATTGAGTTATTACAGCAGGATTCAGGAATCATTAGTCCTCATTGTACGGACATTCAGGGACAGAGGGAACAGCTGCAGAGCCATTTGTGTCTTTAGTGTTTCTGTCCATCTGTCAAGAAACAGTAGCATCACAAGGTCCAGGCCTTAGTCTTGGGGCTGCAATGGTAAAATATCATGGACTAGGTTTTTAAAATACAAGGTATTTTTGCCTTTCTGAAGGCTAGGAAGCCCCAAGTCCACACAGTGTAGTATCTGGTGAGGGATCCAGTTCCTGCTTCACAGACAGCCATCTTGTATCCTCACATGGCAGAAAGGACATACAGGTTCTCTGAAGTTTTTTTTTTTCCTAGTCTAATCTTATTTTTATCAGGGCAATATTCATCATGCCATGACAGCACTTAATAATGGACCTAAAGGTGGGCTGGAGAGATGGCTCAGCAGTTAAGAGCATTGCCTGCTTTTCCAAAGGTCCTAAGTTCAATTCCCAGCAACCACATGGTGGCTCACAACCATCTGTAATGAGGTCTGGTGCCCTCTTCTGGCCTGCAGGCATACACGCAGACAGAATATTGTATACATAATAAATAAATAAATATTAAAAAATGTTTAAAAAAATAATGGACCTAAAGAAATAGCAGCCCAGTTTTGGATTAGATGCCATTTATGATTCAGTATCTCCACTAGAAATCTTCTAGAGAAGGTTCCTCATCCCAGTCTACCAGATCAGTCTTCTGAACAAATGTTGGGCGTCTTTGCTTTGACTTCCTGTAGTGTACTTCAACAAATCTTTTAGGTCCATTTTGTATCAGCTCCTTATTTCTATTTTATTTGTTCGTTCTTGAGTTCTATAGTCTTCTACAATTACTGTTGCTTTATAGTACCTATGTTTATGTAAACAGATAATTTGACATGGGTATAGTAATAATGGTGATGAGTCTAGAAATGCCTTAGGATCAAGCACTTGGGGTCAGTCTTGAAAGGAGAAGAAGGTGAAAAGGAGGTTTTCTTTCTTTTATTGGGAGGTGGTTTTGTTTTATTTTCTTTGTAATAGTCCTGGCTGTCCTGGAACTTGCTCTGTAGATCAGGCTGGCCTTGAACTCACAGAGATCCATTTGCCTCTGCCTCCTGAGTGCTGGGGTTAAGGGTCTATGCTGCCACCGCCCAACAGAAGGACTTTTAAAGTTAGAGTGTAATTACATAAGTTCCCCACTTCCCGTCTGTCCCTTGTTCCCTCTTTTTTAATTGAGTGTGTCTTTCTTGTCTCTCTCTCCTCCTACCCACACACATGCTTGAATATATAAATACAATCTGCTCAGGCCATTTAGCATTACTTGTTATCTATATGATTTCAGGGCTGATCATTTGGTATTGGATAACAAGTTAGGGGGCTGATCCCTGGGAAATGTTGAATTAGGAGCAGCGAGGCTGCGTCCCCAGCACCCGGCCGCCCACATGGCTAGCTTATGCCCGAAATAATTACACGGAAACTATTCTTTCAAACACTGCCTGGCCCATTATCTGTAGCCTCTTATTGGCTAGCTCTTACATATTGTTCTAACCCATTTCTAATATTCTGTGTAGCCCACGAGCTGGCTTACCAGGGAGGATCTTAACCTGCGTCTGTCTAGAGCGGGAGAATCATGGCGACCCCTCTCTCAGCTTCTTTTTCCCAGCATTCTGTTCTGTTTTCTCCGCCTACCTAAGGGTTGGCCTATCAAATGCAAATGGGCCTAGGCAGTTTCTTTATTAATAAGAAATCACTCCCACATCAGGGGAAGAAGAATTTTTCCTCCTCTCAGTATTCCTTAGGTTCTTTGTTTATGGGTGGAGCCATGTGAGATTCCCCCCTTCTGCATTAGCATGTCTGTCACTGGTACACTTCTTCATGTCTTGTTCAGGCAGTCATATGGTAGTTGAAGTACCATGAATTAAACTTCCTTGTCATTTTATTTATTTTTTTAAATATTTATTTATTATGTATACAATATTCTGTCTGTGTGTATGCCTGCAGGCCAGAAGAGGGCACCAGACCCCATTACAGATGGTTGTGAGCCACCATGTGGTTGCTGGGAATAGAACTCAGGACCTTTGGAAGAGCAGGCAATGCTCTTAACCTCTGAGCCATCTCTCCAGCCCCTCCTTGTCATTTTAGAAGACAAAAACCCCACAGCTTATTTCTTGGTTCCCTGGCTCTTACCATTTTCCTCCCTGTTTTCCATGATGTTCTCTGAACCTTAGGTGCAGGAGTTGGGTTATAGATGGACCAGTTGAGGCTGGGCATTCTGTAATGACTTGTTCTCTGCATTTTGACTGGTTTCTGTAAAGGTTTCCATCTGTTGCAAAACAGAGTGTCTTTGATTGATGGTAAGAACTACACTTATCTGTGGGTAGAAGGATAAATATTTAGAATGCATCTATGAAGCATTTTAGTAAAGTGTCAGTTGTAAGTTCTAGAAGATCCACGACCTTACCAGCCCTGGGTCATTGTCTTGATTTCTAGTATCAGGAATCATTTTCCTTTAGTTAAGTGGGCCTCATACAAGGTATGAGTGCCACTTGCACCCTGAGGGATTTCTTGCCATGATGGTCACTGTTGGGCTTTTTAAGTGGTACAGTAGGGTAGGACTATTGGTTGCTCCCTCTCTGGGAAGCTTGCATAGTGCCTTCCAATACTGCCAGAGCTAGTCCTCAGGTGGAGGGCTTTCAAGTCAGATCCAGCTTGAGTCTACAGGTCTTATGTCCAAACTGTGGTGCCAACAGATCATTCTCGATAAAGATGCCATGCAATGGAAGACTGCAAATGTGCTGCATCTGGGTTTGGGAAGAAATTCGTGTAACCAGGATTGCATTAGGCTGGTCGGAGATAACCTGAGTTGGAGGGTTGAAACGGGTCCCTGTGAATCATGCAGTTTATTTCCTGACCCAGTTCACAGTTGGAAGCACAGCAGGTGTCAGCTGACCTACTTCAATCGCATTTAAAAATAGATAACTATTCACGTTCATATTTTCTGACATTAATGATTGTATTTTTCATTTTTGGAGTACACATGTATATGGTGTATATACTATATTATGTATGTGTGTGCATGTGGAGTTGTATGCACGTGTGTATATGCAAATATGAAGGCTAGAAATAGACTAGGTGTTTTTCTTGATCATTTTCAATCTATTTTGACACAGGAGCGCTCACTGACATTGGAGCTCACTGATTGGCTGGCCAGCTGGAGGTCCACCTGTCTCCCCAGCCCTAGTGCCAAAGTTACAGACATGTGCTACCTACCTAGCCTGGCTTTTGTGTGCATGCTGGGCCTCACAGCCCAGTTGCTCATGTTTGCACAGCAGCCACGTTCCTGGCCGAGTGCGCTGCCTCTCAGGCCTCTCACGTGTGTGCTCTTCAGTAGTTTTTTCCTGTCCATTTCCTATTCTCAGGTTCTGTAGATAAGGAAGCAGATGGTTGGTGCACAGCTGGCTGGCTGTCCTTCCAGCAACGCTAGGCCCTGCCCTCCCCAGATCTGTGCTTGTGTGCTATTTGTCTTTTTCTCCTCTGGAAATCATTGTTTTCCTTTGCTTCCTAGGATTTGGCATTTACTCTGGAAGAGAGACAGCAACTGAACATCCATGGATTGTTACCGCCTTGCTTCGTCAGTCAGGAGATCCAGGTCCTTAGGGTAGTTAAGAATTTTGAGCGTCTGAACTCTGACTTTGACAGGTAACACATTTATGAACATATTTCTCTTACACTCTCTACTATTGTTTTTTATAAAAGAAAGTTGGGGTATTACATGGTTTGGAATGGATATTTAACTTTAAGGAGAATTTGTTTGCAAATACAGTGATTTTTTTTTATAAAAAGTATTTACTCTCTATAGGATCATTTGAATTCTCAGTTTACCTTTCTCAAGATAATTTTTCTATGAGAAAATTATATATGTCCACATTTACTTAATACATTTATATGTAAACACGAATATTCTTCACAAAAGGAAGAAATACCCAAGAAAATTTCTTTCCTTGTTTCTAAAATTGATCATTGGTCATTACTGGTGTTTCCGATGGCCATCTTATGGCGGAGTGATGCAGACTTTCAGTCCTGAGCAGTCTGCAGGGCATGGGTTTTCAATCTGATGGCTGGCAGGGGCCGCCATCTCATCAAGTAAGTTTCCTTTGAAGGAAGCGCTCGTGGAAACTGTGAGTCTCTTCTGAGGGCAGTTTTCCCAGTGCTAATGTCACCTCTTGAATTTCCCAGCCCCATTCCAATTGGCACAGCAGAGAGTAAGCTTTTGGCACACAATCACACACTTAAGTGATCTCTGACCCACAGCAGAGATCAGTGCAAAGGGTCTCGTTGTTACTGAACACATTTTGTCACAACTTTTTAGTTGTATAAAGTAGTTTGAATTGAAATACATAAAGGGTTATGCACAGGAGGATAACTAGACCAGAAATGCCTCTACATGGAGAAAGGCCGTTAAAAGCTGGGTGTGGCGGTGCATTTATTTAATCCCAGCACTCAGGAGGCAGGTGGATCTCTTTAAGTTCCATGTCAACCTGGTTTGCGCAATGGCTATCTAGGTCATCCAGGATTGCGTAGTGAGGTTGTCTCAAAAAGAAAGGAAGGAAGGAAAGAAGGAAACAAAGAAGGGCCATTAGTTTGCTTGAGTTAGTGGCTAAACTCTACTATGATATTTTCATCTCTTTAATTATAAAATAAGGACTATGTCTGTCCAAGTACTGAACAAAATTATGTTATTTCACAATAGTGGTGATGTTTGAATGGTTTCCTCATTCTTTGAGATGTTGAGTTTTTTGTATCTATACATTTGTGTATGTGTGCATGTGTGTGTGTGTCTGTGAGCATGCACATGCTTGCACTTGTAGAGGTCAGAGGTTGATGTTGGATATCTTTCTCTCTAGTCCTCCACCTGTGACAGGATCCCTCAATGAGCCCAGAGCACACTGACTGGCTAACCTGGCTGGTCAGTGAGCTCTGGGGGTTTGCTTGACCGTAACCCCAGCACCAGGTTATAGATATGGACCCCTCTGCCCAGTGCTTCAAACCCAGGTCCTCATGTTTGCACCTCAGGCACTTTCCCCACTGAGCATCTCCCAGTTTCTTAAAGGATATTTCTAAAAATTGTTGCTATTGTTTTTGTAAGGCAGGGTCTCACTGTGTAACTCAAGATGTCCTCGTATTCATTCCTGCCTGAGTTGCCCGAGTGTTAGAATTAGAGGCACATGCCACCCTGCCTGGCTTCATTATTCATGCTTTCTACTTAACTAAAGATGTACTTAGTACTTGATTGGAATTAGATTTCTAATAGCTATTTTTGCAATTAGATTTTGATTGTTGGATATAGATCTAAAATTGTGTCCAATTTCCACAGGTATCTTCTGTTGATGGATCTGCAAGATAGAAATGAGAAGCTCTTTTATAGTGTGCTGATGTCTGATATTGAAAAATTCATGCCTATCGTTTATACTCCTACTGTGGGTCTCGCATGCCAGCAATACAGTTTGGCATTTCGGAAACCGAGGTACGTAAACTTTTATTTTAAGTACAATTTGTATTTTGGAGAATGGAAAGCTGGTTCCGTGGTTATTATAGCTTAGCTCATTCTGCTCTTATAAAGGACCTGAGTTTGAGTTCAGTTCCCAGTGCCCACAGTGGGCTGGTCACAACTGTCTGATACTTCAGATATTGGGGATTCAACGCTCTCTTCTGGCTTCTCTGGGCTGCATTCATGTTTATATATACATTAAGTAATTAAATAATTAAAATTACATTTTCATTAACTGTAGTCACTGGTACACAGCAGATCTCTAGGACTCCATTTATCTAGTTGAAATTCGGCATTTTTGACAATCATTTCCTAATCTTGCACTAAATCCTATTTTGTTGCTTGCGCTGATTGACCACTTGAGATGGCACACATTAGTGATTTTTCCACGCAGTACTTTCTGTGTTTGACTGTTTCACTGAATACATTGTCCTCCATGGTCACCCAGGGTTTTACAGTGACAGGGTAACCTGCTCCTTTAAGGCCAAATAATAGCCCATTGTGTGTGTATCTTCATTAATTCATTTGTTACCGGCATTGAGTTTGGCTCTGGGTCTTGTGTATTGTGAGTGTATTTGACAGTCTGACAGGGACAGCAGTTTGACAGACCGACTCATTTTCTTTGGATCCATACACAGCAGTGAGATTGATAGATTTTTGAGGTCCCTCCCCATTGTTCTCTATACTGGCTGTATTAATTTCCCTTGCTTCCATCACCAGGTAATTTATTTTTCATTCATATCCCAGGCAGAATGTCTCTCATCATTTTGAGGCTATCCATTTCAGAGGTCAAGTGATTGTTGACTGTGGGTTTGATTTGCACTTCACTGATGATTAATAATGTTGGATTATTAATGTTCATATACTTCTTGCCATTTACCTGTTTTAAATTTTCTTAGCGGTTCATTTATTCTATCTTATGTTTATGTCTTGCATGTATATATGTGCCTGGTGTCTTCGGAATTTGAGGACAGCATAGAATTCTCCTGCCTCTCCTTTCTAGGGTTACAGGCATGTGCCACCGCGCCTGGTTTATGTGGTGCTAAGGACATGGCTTAGAGCCATGTGCTTGCTAGGAAAGCACTCTGCCAGCTAAGCAGTGTCCCCAGCCTCCCAGATCAATACTCATATGAATAATCCTATTCTTAATGACTGCTGAGGGAAAAAGCTGGAATATGCATTTACCGGTTTCATGAGGAATTTCGTCTCCTTGGCATAGATACTTTGTGTTGGCGTCAGGATGTCATGGATAATCAGTTTTCAGACTGTTGTTGGGCTTGCTTAGGTTGTCTTGTTCCCATGTGCCCACAGCACTGCAATTCCTATAGAATTCTGCATATTTGGTGTTTCTGTCTGCTTCTCACAGCACATTTAATTATGGCTAACCTTTACACAGATGGCAGAGACAGCTCTCTGTTTTTCTGTTCTACTGAGTTCTGTCTTACCTGAATTACTTACTAATATACCTTGTGAAACGTTTCAGAAAGCTTCGTACAAATTAATAATACAGGCGTATAAAGCAGACTTAAAGAGTTTCTTTGGAAGTATGTCTCCTTCCTACTTAAGTTCAAGTATATATTTTGAACTTAAAAATGTTAAATATTAATTTTATGTGTATGAGTGTTTGATTGCATGTATGTAAGTGCACCACATGCATGACTGGTGCCTATGGATGCCAGAGAGAGCATCGGATCTTCTGGAAATATTTACAGATGGTTGTGAGGAGTCATGGATGATGGGAACCAAACTGGGTCTTCTGCAAGGGCAGCAAGTATTCTTAAGTCCTGAGCCTGAGCCATCTCCTCAGTCCCTACCTACTGTATTTTAAACATGCATTTTCCCCAAAATATGTCTTTTTTAAAGCTACATCTCATTATACTATATATTTGATAACCATGTTCTTACTTTTGATATTTTTAATGTCTGTCAAGATAATTTTGACCCCTAGTCATAGCTAGGTTATAAGATTCTAGAGAAGGAAACTCTTTCTGAGACAGGGCTCTCTATGTACCAGTTTGAGTTTTGTTTCCCTGTGTAGACTAGGGTGCCATCAATCTCACAGTGCTCCAGCCTCTAGCTATTGGAGGCCAAAAAGTCATTATTACAAGTTATTCTTGCAGTCCTGCTGAGTATCCAGTGCCTGGCTGGTGCTCAATGTGCCCCTTCTGCTATCTCACCGAAACAGTAATTCAGGAGCATCCTGTTCGTGCACTCTTAGAGAAAAATGTTCAGTAATGATGATCCATCATTTCCCCCTGCTGTTTAAGCATATTATTTTAACAGACAAATCCTCATAAATAATTGATCCTGAAGGAAATGCAACTCCAATGAGTCAGTCTATGAGAACAAAGAAGTTTGAGTGTAGAGAGCTTGAATGCATACTTTTTTCACTTCTCATCTTTATGTGTGGAGTCACTGATCTGATTTTGGCAAAAAGGTGGAGCTAATACAGTTTACTGAAAACAGATTAAAAAACAAAACAAGTCTTTCCCAGGATGCCCAGACTATTACTGTTGGTCCACGCAGAGTCAAGGTGCAAACAATGTTCAGTGCTCAAAGTAGTTGGAGAAAGCTATAGTGCATTTAAATTGAATTCTTGGCCTGTTCCTTAGAATAATATCTATTTTGTGAGGTTTTGGAGGGTGGGATTGGACATAATACAAATGATATAGCTGAATAATCCTCAGTCGTGGTTATTGTTGCATAAGCATTGTAACACCCTCAGGATGCTTGCCATCCGACGGGATGCAGAGCAGTGTTCACCAGCCTTACCATAGTCGTGTACGTTTGCAAAAGAGGAACATCCAGATAGGTGGGCTTAGAAGTCAATAAGATGTGTGGGCTGGGAACTTAATAGATTCTATATTCAAAGGTTCTAATATTTTTATTACAATTTATCTTTATTTTTGAGAATTTCACACATGTATATAATGAAATATGATCATATCCACCCTCTATTTCTCCTTTTTTTTTTCTTTTTGTTTTTGTTTTTCAAGATAGGGTTTCTCTGTGAAGCTTTGGAGCCTGTCCTGGAACTAGCTCTTGTAGACCAGGCTGGCCTTGAACTCATAGATATCCACCTGCCTCTGCCTCCTTAGTGCTGGGATTAAAAGTGTGCAGCACCACCACCTGGCAATTTCTCCTTTCTTATTTCCTCCATCTTCCTTCAAATTTCATGACCCTCCAACTTTTGATAATCCAGTTAATGCTGTCCAATTATACGTGGGTTTGGGACCATTCACTAGAGTAGAGAAAGCCACCAGGGGCAATACCCTAAAAAATTACTCTCCTTCTCTATGTGTGACACTACCTAGGGAGATAGGAATAAATGTTTACTCATGCCATATAGGGAACTGCCTCTGTCCAGAATCTCAAGAGGAGAGTGTCAGCTTTAATTGAAACTTGATTTGTGACATAGCAAAAAGAAAAGAAGCACAAATGTATATGCTCTACTATGTTTATAGCAGCATTGTTTGTAATAGCCAGAACCTGGAAACAACCTAGATGCCCTTCAATTGAAGAATGGATGAAAAAAGTATGGAATGTATACATATTAGAGTACTACTCAGCAGTAAAAAACAAGGACTTCTTGAAGTTTGCAGGCAAATGGATGGAAATAGAAAACACCATCCTGAGTGAGGTAAGCCAGACCCAAAAAGAGGAACATGGAATGTTCTCACTCATATTTGGTTTCTAGCCATAAATAAAGGACATTGAACCTATAATTCGGGTTCTTAGAGAAGCTAAATAAGAAGGAGAACCCAAAGAAAATCCTGAATATTTCTCCTGAATATTAAACTTCATCAGGCGATGAAAGGAGACAGAGACAGAGAACCACATTGGAGCACCGGACTGAAATCTCAAGGTCCAAATCAGGAGCAGAAGGAGAGAGAGCACAAGCAAGGAACTTAGGACCGGGAGGGGTGCACCCATACACTGAGACAATGGGGATTGGGAACTCACCAAGGCCAGCTGGCCTGGGTCTGAAAAAGCCTGGGTCAAAACTGGTCTCGCTGAACATAGCGGACAAGGAGGACTACTGAGACCTCAAGAACAATGGCAACGGGTTTTTGATTCTACTGGACCTATTGGTTTCGTGGGAGCCTAGGCAGTTTCGTGGATGCTCACCTTACTAGACCTGGATGGAGGTGGGTGGTCCTTGGACTTCCCACAGGGCAGAGAACCCTGATTGCTTTTTGGGCTGACGAGGGAGGGCGACTTGATTGGGGGAGGGGGAGGGAAAGGGGAGGCGGCGGTGGGGAAGAGACAGAAATCTTTAATAAATAAATAAATTAAAAAATATATATAAAAAAAAAAAAGAAAAGAAGCTAAAGCCAGTGGTGGTGCTCACCTTTAGTTCCAGCACTCAGGAGGCAGAGGCAGACGGATCTCTTGAGTTTGAGGACAGCCTGATCTACAAAATGAGTTCCAGGACAGCCAGGGCTACTTAGAGAAACCCTGCCTTGAATGAATGAATGAATGAATGAATGTTTAAAATAATATTTTAAAAAATCTCTGAGGCTAACATTCCTTCAAACAAATAATGTTTCTGTTACATTATAGGGACTGTATTGTACTAACTGTATTAACCATGAAGTGAATGCTTAATTGAATAGAAGCTTTCATATTGTTTAAACGATATGCCATATAGGTGTAGGATACTAATTTTAAGTTAGAACTACTTTAGTAGCTCATTAGCTGATTATAAATAAATTAAGCATGTATTATTAATGGAAAAGTACATGGTTTTCTGGCTAGTTTGAATAATTTGCAAGCTACATGCTCAATCATTGAAATAACTCTGTGATATTGTCCTAATCAAATCAGATGCTGTATTCAACTACCATCAACAGAGTGACCTTTTCATTAGAGAGGCTTATTTTTCCTATTCCTGGAGTCTGGGATCCTGTGATCAGGGTCAGCATGGTTGGGTTCTGGAAAGGATTGTCTCTGAGCACTAGAACACTGTCCGGTTG